CTTTTCCTCCATACTTGCACATTTGATTTTTACTGTAAGCAAGAATTGTATTTATTTTCTAAGAGTGCAAATTGATCTTGTGGTCACTGATAAACACTAAAAGCTACTTGATAGTCAAGATAATCTCTCAAAAGACCCATAACCAAAGTAGGTAGAAAAGACCTCCTCGTTAGATCATTCAATTTTAATATTTCTAAGAGAAAAAGCAGTATTTGCATCCTGAAACAGAGCCAAGGATATTCTGGCCTGATTTGCAGGTCATAACTCTCCTCATGGTCTGTTTGGAAACAGAAGCTCCCTGCCTTGTGCAAATTGATGGAGCTCTGCTGCCCCAAATGAAATACAGCCAGCTCTGCTGATACACTCCAGGATGTAGAGCAGGGAGAGGATTTTTTTCATAATCTCTGGAAAACCAGGATGTCTGTTTTGCTATTTAAATGGGAGCTGAACCCTTGGAAATTATGTCTCTCATGCAGAGAAACCAGAAACAGCTTAAAGAGCCCAGGTATCTTATTTTAACCTCCATATCAAGTGTATCTGTAATGCAGAGCTGTTTTTCAGGAGTTTTCAGGTCCCTGCTTCCACCCTTGGCATCCCAAAGCTCCCAGCTCCATTCAGGGATTGCCAAACATGAATTCATGACTACAGATACCTGCACGTGCCTACCTGCACCAGCAGATGAGATTGGCTTTCTCCTCATGTCTCTGTTTTCCACATTTTTTGAGTATTTTATACAGCCAGAATTCTGCAAAGGAAAGGACAGCAATTAAACAGAGTCCACGGTGAGGTAATCTTACCTCAGTAAATACCCAGCTCTGATTTGTAAGCACCAGATGTCTGTGTAAAATGGAAGTTTTCTCTCTCCCAACACTTCTTCCAGGTACCTGTAGAATTGTCTTTGAATTCAGCTGCAGTCCCAGCACCACATTTTGTTCTATTTAACAAATGTTGACTTTTTTTTTTTTTTAATAAGAGCTGTTTTCTTCCTTTGACAGGTACTCAGAATTTGTCTGAGGAGGTTTTTTTGAGGTCTTCTTTGAGTGTGTTGTAAATGTACTGACAGAAGGAACTGAGTATTTAGCTGATCATTAACTCTTGGGTTTTCCCTCATTTTCAGAGAGCCACTCTCTCTGAAGATGGTCTGTGATGTGTCTGCCAACTCCACTCAAATTCTAAATCTTACTCAGTTTTAAATCTTACTCAGGTTCAGTAAGTCCTGTGCAAAACTCAGGTCTTCTTTAGTCTGGAGATTGTTTTTTCCCTGTTATGTGACCAAGATGAGGTCCTTGCTTGCTGGAACACCAATCTCTCCCCACTGCTCCTCTTCAGTGCCTGTGAAAAGTATTGGGAGAAGAAAGAGATGAAATAAACCTGCATGCAAAGAGAAATAATCAGGAAATATGTGTTATATTTCTGCCATATATTTTAGTAAAGTCTTAATGTGGACACAAGAGTACCTGTCTTTGTAGATAAATTTCTGTATTCTTAGCATTTATTGAATCAGCAATGTCCCCATCCATTATGTAACAGGAGCAGCTGGTCAGCCTTTCATGTGATGTACAGTTTCCTTTCCTCCTCATAGTAATGATAGAAAAATGCCATTATTCTTCAGCACCTTTCAGCTAATGTTCAGATTTCCATCCTTACTTCTATGTAAATGCAGACTCTGATTTAGAAGAATTAGCTTTAAGTAAAGCATTATTTTATACTGCTGGGTTGGGAAAGAGCTTCTTTCCAAAAGGGAACTTGAACAAGTTAAAGAAACTTTTGTCAGCATCATCTCTCCCGTGTGCCTGAACAGTTTTGGAAAGAGGGATCTAATTATTGGCCTCAAAGAAAGTGAGCTAAAAGTCTGTATTTTACAATCCTGCTCTCCAGCATAGGTACCTCTCTGACCCTCTGAGAGAAGCTGCCACAGCCTCCCTCAATTTTGGGACACCAGAGGATTCTTTAGCACATTTGCAGATTATGCCTTCCTTCACATCTCTCTGGATTTATTTATTTATTATGAATGTTGGGGAAAATTTGACTCCAGCAAAAATTTGATGTTGGCGATTTGAAACCTTTCTGGATGAGAACTCACTTCTTTCCACTCGCCCAAACCCACAGAGGTTTGGGGTCCTTCAGACCACAGTGAGGAGCAGTCAGTGGCTGAAGGGAGTAGCTACAGAGCTGCAGCAAAGGGATCATCTGCTCCCAGCAGTGCAAGGACCTTGCACAATTCCTGCCAGTTTCTCTGCAAGACTAGGAACAAATAAAAATCAACAGCCAGCAGAAGGCAGAGCAGCAGCCCAGGGACCTTTCCAGTGTGGGCTTCTGCCATGCTTCTCTAAATGATGGTTTCATGTAAAGAACTAAACATCTTTTATTTTCTATTAAACAAGCAAACAAACCCAATGACACTTTTTGGGAAATTGTTGGAGTTTGGGACCTGATTCACAGCCTGGTAAGAAAAATGCTTTTTATTCTGTGTGTATTGGGTTTTTTTGGATTTGGTATCAGTGGCAGCCCCAAAGTGGGGCAGATGTTAAATGTCTGCTATCAGACCAAGGGCTTCCTTCTAGACTGCTGAGTAAAGCTGGCTGGAGAGCAAAACATGTTTTACCTAAAAAGGGGAAGTTTTAGAATATTTGTCTCATCAAAATGAAAATAAAGCTGCTTGTTGAAGGAAGAGCAAGTGAGCAAACAGGTTCATCTCACAGCATGCCAAAGCCTGGTGCTGAGGATATTTCTATAGGATTTAGGACACCAGGGTCCATGTTTATGGTCTAAAACACCTCCTTGAGTGGGATCAATGTGTTGAGCACAGTTGCTCCTCTTAGATGGGTTCTGACTTCATAAAAATCCCATTTCTTGGGGCAGAGGAGAGAGGATGACCCTAAGGTTGGGGTATTTGCAGTGGCTGCAGGAAGACTCTGTCAAATCCTTGCTCTGCTTTATTTGGAGCCAGCTCAACCTTTCCTGTATCACATAGTGTAAGTCCACATCACCAGGGAATGTGCTGACCACTGGGCTGCTGGCTGTGCTGGGATCCTTTCCCAATCAGTTTTGTCCATCAGTCTCAAGCTGAGCAGGAAGATTCTTCCCAGAAAGCATTTTGTGCAAATGATGTGTTTCCCACAAAACATTTCAGTTCTGAGAAATCAGGATTTTCTTTCCCCCTGCCCCACAAAAGAATGGAAAAACCCAAACCCCTCTTGTTGGAAAATGCCTAACACCAGCACTGAGCTCTGATGAGGTCAATTGCCCGCTTGCCTCCTTCCAGCATTTGTGTCTTTCTATTTCAAAACAGTTTGAGAGCTGCTCTTCTGGCAGGAAATTGCAAAAAAGCCAAGGCTGCATTTAAATTCAGCTGCAGCTTGCACCGAGGGCAGTTTTGAAATAATCTTTATATAGAAGATGTTGTCTCAACTACCTATTGAGCACATTGAACCTCCCCCATGCCTAATCTCCCTGCTTTGCACAAAACATAAAATTTATCTCATAAACACCAGAACCAGTACCTAAGAAAGAGGCCTGGAAAAAGAAGCTTTAGTAATAGAAGCAGTAAGACCATCCCAGAGGGACTTTCACTGTCACATGATGAATAACTGGGAATGTGTATGCTGAGAAGGGAGGGAAGAATTGATAAAGGGGTCAGGGAGGTTGAAAACACAGATTTTATTTGCATTAGAAATGTGACCACTATAAGCAACATGTCCAGGGAGCAGCTTTCCTAGCCAGCTGATTACTGGTTGTATTCCTACCTCTGCTGCTGGTCTCTTGAAGGGTTCTCAGATAAATAATCTTCCCCTTTGTGCTTCTGTTTCCTTCACTGTAAAGTGCTGTCAGTGGTGTTTGTTGCCTTTGTGAAGCACTTTGAGATCCCTGGGCAAAAGGGAGGTATTTGAGTTGTTGTTAGTTCCAAAAGGGGAAAAGCTGTAAAACTGAGGTCTGAAGTCATCTTCATATTTCTGTCTTTTTCCTCTTAGTAATATTTTATCTTTTGGGAAGAAACTACTGATTGCAAACTAATGAGCTTGGAAGTGACTTCTGAGTCAACAGTGAAACCTTCTTGTGACTGAGTTGTGTGCAGGTGGATGGAAAGTCATTTCCAGGGGAGAGAGGGTGACAATTCTCTGTGAATCCCACAGGAAAGCTGGGTCAGGGTCAAGCCAGGGATGCTGAGCTGAGAGTCAGAAGTTCAGATCTCTCACCAGGCCTGTGCCAAAACTGTCCTGTGGCTGATTTCTCCTGGCACAGGGGCTGTCCTGGGCTACATCTCCTCTCTGTGTACTGCAGATCCCCAGCCCTGGGCACGTACCCACTCTGCTCCCTCCTTCAGGTCATTGCAGCTTGTGCTTGTGCCATGGTCAGGCACTCATGGGAGGCAGTGCCCATCCTCAGAAGCTTTTCTGTGCACAGCCAGGGCAGGCACAAACAAGAAATGTGTTTTGTTCATGTGTAAAACCGGACTGAAACACAGATAAGGTGCATTAAATAGAAATCATATCATATAATAAAAGTCCTCCACATTTTTGCCATTTCTATACATGAATTACTGCATTTAGGTCACAACAAAAAGAACAATTCATGCCTTGGAGCCCTTGTTACTATTGCCATGGGCCTCACAGCAATCAATAATACAGCCAAAGCAGCTGTATTTGGAGACATTGTTCTGCCATTTGATTCCTAAACAGATTTTTCATGACCAAATTAGAGAATGAAACAAATGACTATTCAAGAAGGCTTGTTATTGAATGAGGTTCTATAGTCCAGTGCCACAGCTTAAGGTCCATATGGAAGCCCAGCTGAGAAATCCAGCACTGCTTTATCAGCAAAGCTTCAAATATTTACTGAGAACAGAAGTCAAATGGGAAGGACTGTCTGATCTAAGCTATGCATGCATGTAACTACCCAAAGCATGAAAACAACATTTTTTTTCTCAATTTTTCTTGCTGTATGGGTGGTCCCCAGTGTTATCCATAAATAATCTTTTTTTTTTTTTAAACTTTGTAAAGGATAAAGAGGATAATAACCGTACCAGCTTCACCAGCCCGTGGAGAGAACAGCTGAAGAGAGCATGTGAAATTGCTGTGATGAATAGCAGGAGAGGGGAAGGCTTCTTGCAGTGAGAGAGATCTAAGCAGCACATCAGGCCAGGAGGCAAACTGAGAGAAAACTTTTTTGGATGTAACCAAAAGTACAGGTAGGTGGCTAGGATTGAATTAGGGGTGGTGTGTGGTGTTAAAGAACAGAAAGCCAACAGGTTCTCTGTGTGAAAGAAAACCCAAGAAAAATGAATGCATCAAAATACTTGATTTAAACCTTGTCTAAATTAAGGAAGAAACACTAAAGTGCTGTTCCAAAGAAAGAGCTTGAACTCAATCATAGAAAAGAGATTCTAAAACAGTAACAGAGAACCCTCCTCCTCTTTAGAGACGCTGAAAGAGAAAATAGCATGTGCCTTTCTATTAAAAACGTGTCTTTCCAAGGAGAAAAGGCTTGAAACCTGAATACTTCAAAGACATTAACCCCAGTGTGCTCTAGTTAACTCTTGCAGTGATGGGCAACAATGGTGGTGTCAGAACACTTGAAAACAGTGACCTGGAAACCTCTGTTTCAGAGGCAAGACCAAGCTGTTCTGTCTGCTACTGAGCACTTTCCTGATGTGAAGATGGGTTATGTGCAAACCACACCTGCAGCATCCCAGCCTCCCCACTGCCCTCAGGATCTGTGAAATCCAGGCAGCTCAGCCCAAGGAGGTACATGCTGATGAGCCCCTTCAGCTGCAGATGCCTCTGGAGTGTTGGCAGGACTTGCCAAGCTTTAACCTGCTTCTGGCCACACAACACATTCACCTTGTGAAGGCCTCAGGCGGGTTTGATTCTGCTACCAGCACCAATCCAAATGTTAAAGATCAGCACATTGTATAAATATTAACAGAATTTCAGGACAACAGCTAGCAGGGAAATGCTGCCATGTGCTGAGATTTCTTCCTGATCTGTAGCTGTCAGTGGTGTGAGCTTGTGTCAGCAGCTTCTTCTCCATTTCACTAATGACAGCTGTAAACCTCCTCTATCAACAAGCTGGCTTAAGCCATGACATGATTGCCTTTGCTGTCTCTGTACACTTAGCAATCTCTTCCTCCTGCTCAGTGCTTTGGAAGCTCACATACATCATGGTGGGGCACTGACTCTGCTGCTGGCTTAGTGATGAACAAATGTCAGGAAAGAAATGGTAACAGGAGAAAGCCTGGAAAAAACATTTTCCATCAAAGGCACTAGAAAAGTGCAGGAGAATCTTTCCTCAGGTTGTTTAACAGCAGTCAGTACAATGTTGTTTGGGTCATTCTTGAACTCAGGTTTCCTCAGGCAATAAACATGGAAAGTTACTTTCCCATTGGAATATTGGTGGAGTTTGTGTAGGTGACAGTGGGGCCAGTCCTGGGCTGGAATTTCAATGCATTTCATCCTCTCTTTAAGAAGCCTGAAACTTCTGGGTAAGTGCATTACCAGAAGAGGTATCCATATACCATTCACAGAAAGTATTATGCATTTCAGAATACACTTGATTTTTAAGTAGTTCTTGAACTCCCAAGTACTTAAATCACTTCTGAAAGTAAAATAGTGACTCTTGAGTCAGAAGCTTTTGAAGGTATTATCCTCTGTGTTTTCCAGTCATGTTCCTCTTCAAGCACTGAAGTGATTTTTAAAGGCACTGATCACCCACTGGTTGTGTTGCTGTTCCTGGCAGTTGTGAGCAGTCAGCACCTCTGGAGAAGCTGAGAAGTTTGGTGCCTTAGTTCATTTGCCTGGATTTTAAAACTGTGGCCTCTGCTTTTATTGACTTTTGAGACAGGTGAAGTTGATAAAGTGAACAATAAAAAAAGTGCAGCAGAGCATTAAAAATCAGGAAAGATGATGAGAAGAGATTGCGGCCAAGATTAAAAGACAGGATTTCATTGGGATGTTTTCCTTATGCCAAGACTTCCTTTTTATTGCCCTTTTTTCCTTCATGTGGAGTTGCACTGGAAAAGCTGCATCCTGACTCTCCCCCACCCCTGTATTTTATCATGGTCAGTGATGCACATCCCTGTAAAAAGCACGTCAAATGTATTTGTGGTTAAATGTCACCTGGCTTGGTAGAAGCAGAAGCCTCAAGTACAGGGCTTGTAGGAATGAGTCATTTTATAATGTGCAGTCTCTGCAGCTCCCCCTTGTCTGGACCTGTCCTCCTGCTGAACCCAGCCAGGGCCTGTCCCTGAAGTCCCTTGTGAGCTGGGCTGGAGGATTTGTGCCTCAGCACCCTGCACTGGTGTCCTGGCAGCACTTCTGCCCTGGGGCTGCTCTCTGCCTGCAGCTCCTCCTGCTCCCACTCCTCTGAGGCTCTGCAGGGTTTCATGGTTGATTTTGGAGGTCTGGACAATCCTGCTGCTTTGGAGCTCCTAAGTTAAACAAGGTCAGACCTGGTTAGTTCTCGGATGGAGTGACCTCCAAGGAAAACACAGGTGTTAACCTGCGGGAAGTGTGATGGTGATTTGGGAGGTGGCTCAGTTCCCTCACTCAGGATTGAATTGGTCTCTCCAGGGCCAGAAAGTGCAGAACTGGCAGAGATGACAACTTCCAAAGGTCAGGGAAGGATGGAAAACCAATGTCTGTTGTTTTCTTTGCAAGGGCATGAGGAAAAGTTCCTGCCCTAGAAACAAGGGACCTCTGGTGTGATTAAAGAAGTCAACAAAACTCTGCTTCTTTAAAACTGGGAAATCACCCTTTGAAAAGATCACACATACGGGATTCCAGGAGGTCAGAAAACACCTTTAGGCTGCAGATTCTTTTTGCAACAGGTCTCCTAATATCTCTCTTCTACTCATGGTGCATTCCCTGCCCACAGGATCAGTCTGTGCAGTGCTAAAACAGTGAAAATGGATGGGACAGCTTCTGCCTGCCTTCCTCACACTGCTGATCTAAGAACAGTTCTCCATTATGTGAAAGGAGGAGAATAGCTACTGAAAGGCTTTTCATCCCCACCAGGATTAAAGCAATTACTTCCTGTTCAAGGCCAGTTGTTTCAAGTGCCACTTAGAAGAGGTATAGGAGCAGTCAGGTCTGTTGGAGACCCAATACAATCTGTGGCTTGTCTTAGATTTTCATGTAACAGGTTAACTTGGAATGAAATCCTCATTTTTGTCTCATCAAAATCAGTTTGCTCTTTCATCGTTTTAGGTCAAACTTTCTTTTTGCTTAGCACTTTTTCTAATTGCCCAAGTAGTCATGGATGAGAGTTCCTGAACATCAATCTTTCCACCTCTTTGGACTCTTTCCTATATATTACATCTGGCTCAAAGCTTCAGCTCTTTATATGAGAAAAGATGCTGTGGTTCCTTCCACTAAAGCTGGACACTGATCTCACTAACATCAGATTTACTCCTGTGAAATACCTTTCTCAAATCAGCATGTTGTTGCAATAACATGGCCTAAGGTGAAATCTACCTTTAGGGTAGATTTTCTTCTTCACGAAGGAGAACTTTTTCAGGACTATTGCTGATATTCCTCACCTGCACAGTCTATTGATCATTAATTTATTGCATCTTTCTGTGGGACAGTGCTGAATGCATGCTGGATTATGAAGTATTGAGTCACTGCTCATTACTGATTTATTGAAGCCTGTAGTGGGAACAGAACAAAACAGTGCTAAGCCTGTTTGAAACTAAAGTCAAATGATTGGAAAGCATATGCTCAATGTGAGTGCCTCTTTAAATGCTGTCCCAACAGAAGGATGGATTTTACATCCTTAAAGATTTTGCCTTAAATCATAGGGATCATTATTCAGGGTTTGTGTCACTGAATCAGTAGCAACGAGCTATTTCTGATCTCCCACTGATGGCACTTCCCCTGCAGACAGGCACTTGGGTGCTCCATCTCATCTGCTGCTTCTCTTGGTTAGTGCTGCAGCTCTTCATGCACATTTTTGCCAGTTGCAGCTGGAATTGCCACTTCCTACTTGAGAGGAGAAGGGGGGAGCAAGTACAATTTTTAGATTTTTTGTGGGTTTAGGCATCTTCATGACAGCTTTACCGAGTTTGCTCGTATTATGCTCTTCCTGGCATTTCCTCCTTTTGAAGTCATTAAAACCAATTTCATATTTATAAATAAAGTGTCCTAATGCATCTAATATATGATGAGGTCTGGCTGCTGCCTGTTTTTCTTTTTAATGTTTACGCCAGGTGCCTCTTGCTTTCAAGGAACTAAGCAATGAATAAATTTAACAGATATTTATTTTAATTAGCCCCCAAAGAGCTAGCAATGAAAAACACTATCAGAAACATTCTAGTGCTTTAGAAAATATAAGACTTCTTCACAAAGCCTCTACACAGAATTACAGAACAGCAATAAAATCAGCACTTGCATGCAGAAATAGATTGTTTACACAGGGATCTCTTATGAACTGGCATTTATTATGATTAACTTCTAATCACACAGACATTTCCACACATGCATCTGAGCAGAGCCACTGAAATCAGTGGGACAACTCTGCTGCCTGACATTAGGTACAGGCATTAAAGTTTGTGGCATTAGAACTCCATTTGTGTGTATCTCTAAGAGCTTTGCCTTCTCTCAGAAGGGGGAAGGAAAATTTATATTCCAGATTGGTGTAATTACTGTAGGACATACAATATTGGCAAACTAGATTCTGTGAATGTCTGCAACATTTCAAAGTAGTTTAAGATAGAGGCTAAAGGCTGACAGTTTCTTATTCTGACTTACATTCTGCCCCCTCTGCTTTTGATTCTACATTCAGAGCTGCCACAAGAATGTCAGCACTGCAATAAATATGCATTTATGTAGCACCTTTTTTTTTGAAGTTTTCTAAACACTTTACAGACAGCCCTTTATATTCAAAGATCTCAAAGTATTTTAGAAATCTCTGTTAGTATTGTTTTCTTCCTGCAATTGGTGTGTTTCCAGGAGAGTGACTGATCCAGGAGCCAGTGCTTTCAAATTAGCTATATTAGAATTCTCCTACAAAAATTTTCTCCAAAAGGTCTCAAGTGTCTCTGAGGGAAAAAAATAAAGTTTTTACTTCCATCTTGAGTGAGCTGGTATAGGCAGGATTACACAGGGCTAATAAACCTCATGTGTGAGGAAAATTCCTATCAACAAGACACACAGTAATTGTGTCTACCCTATGGCTGGGATATTGGGAAGA